GTAGCCAGCGCAGCTCGCGAAGGATAGGTGTTATGTGGGCGAACCGCGGTGCGCCCACAATCACTCGCGCGGCCGCATAGGCAATCTAGTAAAAGAAATTTGGATATAAATTGCAAATTGTGACTTGGGAAAAAGAAATTTTATTAACAAATTTTTATTTAGATCTTGTTATAAAGGTGTAAGTTTTTTGGGGGTGGTCTGACGAGAGGAGACAGGAAGTAATAGTAAATGATTTTTAACCAACTATATTAACAAGGAAATGTCAATGGACATTGTTTAACAATATATACATGCTATTGTGTTGGCAAAAGTTACTTGGATATAAATTCTAAACAGTGAGTTGGGGGGAAAGAGGAGGGGGAAAGGTTTAGAAACTATTAATTGACTTTTACTTAAAAGATGTTATAAAGGTGTAATGTTATTGGAGGATTTTTTGAAATAGCTAATGAATGCCATTATGTGGTTGTGTTTTTAAGTATGAATGGTTTCAGGTAAAAGCATGTTCAAATAATTGTAGTCAAATGAGAATTGTCATACATTGATAGTAAGAGATACAAAGATTTTTGATTTAAAGTGTATAATCTAATATGAACTATAAGTAACGACTGTGGAAGAAATGCACAAAAGTTTTCTGTAACCAATCGACAGACGTTGTACAAGATGTAATGAAGGATGATTCTTTTTTTGTGTTTTTGTTCAATTAAAATAAAATAAAAATTTTCCAAAAAAAAGATACCCCCCCCCCCAACCATCCCAACAGGCTTTCTGTGTGCAAAGCCTTCGGGCAGCCAAAGGGCCAAAAGGCAGATGTAGTTCAGCTGAAGAGATTGTTATGCTCTTGGGGATTGGTTACTATTGTTTATGAATTATTTGAGAAGGGCTCAACCCTTATAGAAGGTACCAAGCTAGCCAGGTCCAAGACAGGTTCTGAGTTCGGGTAAAGACCCAGGAATTCCAAAACTAGAGTCAGATTGACAACCTAACCAGCAGAATAGCCTTGGCAACTAGAGCCGAGGTGGCACAGGGGTTAGAGTGCAGCACTGCAGGCTACTTCAGCTGACTGCTAGCTGCAGTTTGGCAGTTCAAATCTCACTGGCACAAGAGTGACTCAGCCTTCCATCCTTTAACATCAAGGAAGGCGTCATTACCAATCACTCCAAACAGGCACGAGCAGCACCCTCTAGTGGCTCCTCTACAAAGGTGGTTAAGAACCTGTATTGCTGCAATCCAGTATTTCAGGCCAACACTTGCAACGACCTAGTGGTCGACAAGTGATGTGCGCCTGCATCTATAAAGCATTGCATTGCATCGCACCCTAGTGGCCAACTCATTAAATGCGCCTGCATCTCCAAAGCCCTGCAACGCACAATAATGGCTGACCAGTGAACTGTGTCGGCGTCTACAAAGTTTTGCAACGCACTCTAGTGGCTGACACGTGAACTGCGCCTGCATTTACAAAGTCTGGCAACACACTCTAGTGGCTGACAGGTGAACTGTGCCTGCATCTCCAAAGCCCTGCAATGCACTCTAGTGTCTTACCAGTGAACTGCGTCTGCGTCTACAAAGTTTTGCAATGTACTGTAGTGGCTGACACGTGAACTGCGCCTGCATCTACAAAGTCTTGCAACACATTCTAGTGGCCAACAAGTGAATTGAACTCAAAGAATTCATAATACATTCAAGAAATTTTCTGAGCTAATCCTAGTCATAGACTCATAGCACCCTTCTAGCCATGACAAAAGGGTCAGACAGGCCAGTCCCCATGCCTGAACCCATCACAAACTCAGAATTGGATGTCCAACTATGAGAAAACGCAGAAGCACCTCAGATAGCCTATGACCTTAGACAGCATTCGCTGAAGGCAGAACATATAACAGGGATGGACAACATCAGCGTCGACTGGCTCAGCCAGACCGAGGTGGACAATTCGGAGTGGAAGGTACAGCCAGCAATCTTCGAAGAGCTGGCAGAGCGCTTCGGACACCCAGAATTCGACCTATTTGCCACCCCTCAACGCCCAGGTCCCAAGGTTTTACTCCAGCTACCGGACATGGGGAGCAGAGGGGGTAGACGCTCTCTGCTGTCCTTGGCCCCGGGGCTCCTCTATGCCTATCCACCCTTACCCCTGATCCCCAGGATTATACAAAAAAATCTTGCGGAAGGGGGCGGAAGTAGTACTGAGTGCCCCCCACTGGCCCCGAAGGCCTTGATTTGCAGCTCTTCAATCCCTCTTGGTGGATAGGCCCTGCAGGATCCCCCAGGAGAGGATTTCCCTCAGTCAGGGGTCGCTAGAACACCCAGACTCTCAGTGGCTCCAGTTGACCGCTTGGCGCTTGAGTAGAGCATCCTGAGGGAAGATCACTTTTCCCCCATGGTTATACAGACTATCCAGGCAGCTTGCAGACCCTCCAATGAGCGCATTTACGGCGCTACAGAACAGGCTTTTTCAACATGGTGCATCTCTAGGGGCTACAATCCTGTCCGGGCCACTGTTGCACAAGTTCTGGACTTCCTTCAGGCGGGGCTGGACAGAGGGTTGGCTCCCAACACAATTAGGAGGCAGGTCACGGCCATTTCATTGGTACTCCTGTGCGGTAGATCTCAGACACTGACTCACCATCCGGTGGTCAGGCGGTTCCTCAAGGGGGCCTCCAATCTTAAACCACCCACGGTGTACAGGTACCCTTCCTGGGACTTACACAACGTGTTGGATGCTCTGACAGGCCCTCCGTTCAAACCATTATGTACTGTCTCTCTGAAGTTCCTGACACTTAAAGTGGCCCTTTTGGTGGCCATCACCTCTGTCAGGAGGATATCTGAACTGCAGGCTCTGTCTACCAGGGAAGATCTCTGCGTGTTCCACCAGGACAGGGTAGTGCTAAGGTTGGGCTCCTCCTTCATACCCAAGGTGTGTTCTTGCTTCCATCGCTCGCATGAGGTGATATTGCCCAATTTCTGCCCGGACCCTTCTCACCCATTAGAGAGGAAGTGGCACACCTTGGACGTGAGGAGGGCTCTGAGGATTTACCTCAGAAGAACCAGGCCGAACAGGAAGTTGGAAGCCCTATTTATTTCCTTCCAGCCGGGGTCTCTGGGGAACAAGGTGACTTCTACCATGATAGGCAGGTGGTTAAGAACTTGTATTGCTTCTGCCTATCAGGCACGGGATCTGCAAACAACAAGCTCTATCATAGTGCACTCTAGATGAAGCACGACCACTTCAGCAGCCTGGGCCACACAGGCCTCACTATCTGAGATCTGTAGGGCAGCCACGGGGTCTTCCCACTCGCCATTTGTGAGGAATTACAAGTTGAATTCCTTTGCTTCTGCGGAAGCCTCATTCGGACGTAGGGTGTTGCAGGCTGTTCACAAGGCGGGGGAGAGGTCTCACAAGACATACATTTGGGTATATACTCAAATGTATAAGCCTCCCTAGGGACATGTAGGCTTTGGTACGGCCCATTCTGGATACTCCTCCCCTCACTATGGAGAAAGGGCATTGGTACTTACCTGATACGTCTCTTCTCATAGTGGAGGAGGAGTAACCAGCCTCCCTGATATGGGTATGTTGCAAAATTGTTATGTTGTTTGTTGAACTGTTCTGTTGAAGTAATAAATAAAGGTTTGAAACTAAAACAAAGTCTAGAGTGGATGACACAGCGAGTCAGATAGAGTTCTTTGCCGATAACTGGGTGGAGCCTGGTGACCAAGGCATGGCTAAAAGAGCTTATCTGATTCAGTCCAATCAAGAGAGGACAAGGTCAACCCCATCCTGGATACTCCTTCCCCACTATGAGAAGAGGCGTATCAGGTAAGTACCAATGCTCTCATCTCTCGTCTTCACCTCTTCAGGCTGCTATTCAAAACAGGTTGGATCTATAACCACATTGCTCCCAGTACATATCCCCATGTCTTCATACAGGCATGTTTCTAATATCCTGAAGGTGGTTTTCTATCACAGCTTGAACTTGAATGGCTATTTTGGATACTACCAACTCCAAACTTACCATGCCACTTCTAAAACCACCCAGGACTTCCCTTTATATTATTGATGACCGCTATTATCAGAAAGAATCAGATTATCATTTTTGCTCTTACCAACTCTTTGAAACTCAAATTCATTCCTACTTTGCATACATTGATAACAAGGATAAAAATAATTTAAGACTGTGGGTTCTAAGCATGCAGTTGGCTCAAGAATGACACAGAATACCTCTTAGTATATAAAGCAGAATTAACTATACCACCTTTTTACAGTAGAGAACTGTGGGGCAAGCAGCCACCTGTGGCATGGAATTCAGAAATGAGCAAAGTGCAAATAAAGAGTAATTGAAGCAGGCCTCATAATAGCACACATGCATATGAGAAATAAATATTTGTTATTGAATTTACTATTAAACTCGAACCAGAAATCACCAAGGAGGGGAGATGAGTGTTATACCACACATCAGTGGTCCCTAACCCCTGGGCTGCAGCCCACCACTGACCTATAGCCTATTTGGAACTGGGCCGCCAAGAGTTGGGCTGGCACACACGCACAGCTCCACTAGTGCATGGCACGCCAGTGGGCTTGTATGTGCGCAGCTCCACTCGCACAAGTGGTGGGCTGGTGCACATATGTGTGGCAGGCTGCTACTTGTGCAGCTTTCCCGTTCCCGCCGGGCTGCCAAGCCCAAAGGTTGGGGGGGGGGAATACCGCCGTAACTGATTTGCTGAACTTAATTCCTTCTATCATAAAGTTTAGGGGGGAAATGTGCTTTTCTAGGACAAAAATGAGTTCGGAGTTTTGAACCGAGGTCAGAGCTTAACCCTGAGATATAGTACTACTGTTGCCATCTTCTCCAAATGTGACCCAGTGGCTGAAATCCTTTGGAGAGGAGTGTTTCAAATTTTGTGAAGCAGGAGGTGGATTGGCTGGTAACGGCTGAATCAGTGGTTGGCCAGCAGCAAAGTCTACTTCCAGATCTAACAAATTGCTGTTCTCCATTGGACAATGATTGTCTGAAGCTTGCTGTTGTTGCTGAATCCACAAGGCAGGAGTCACCTGTTGGTCACTAATAAATTCCAAGCCAGTCTGCCCCAAAAGCTTAGCATCATTGTCTTTTGAGCTGGTCACAACTGTTGTAGCAAGAAGAGAGGCTTCACTCAGAGAAGATGGAAGTCCATCAGAATCCTTCATTGTGGAAAAACATGCTGCTGGAACGTTGTTATTGTTGGAATTGAATGTCGGCCCTTTTAGAAACAGGTTATTGCTGTTCTGGAGTACTTGCAGATGAAAATCGGGAGAAGCAGACTTCTTTCTCCTTGGGGGAACTCTTGGAGCCTGAGTCACATTCAGAGAAGGAATATGAGAACTTTCCTCTAAAAGAGACAAGGGAGTTGGTTGCTTTCCATTGCTGCTGCTGCTCCTTTGGACAATTTTGCCAGGCTGCATTGTCCTTGGCTTAGGAATGGGGACCGTCTGAAGAGAACCAATAACAGTTGTGCTTTCCAGACCCGATTCTGGTGATGCGGAGAAGTGACCCAAGGTTTGTTCAAGCTGCTCTCCTGGAGAATGGGGCTGAGAAGAAAAATGGACAATGAATTGTTTTTCAACCAAGCTATCATTAGAAACAGCAAGCCATCCAGAGTCATCTCTGGACCAGGTGGGTGGCCCATACATTTAATAAATAAAGAAACATTTCTCTCTTGCTCCTGAGGGCATGTGTGTGTATGTGTTTGTGTGTTTTCTGGTAATACAAATGCCAGTGCAGTTTTCTGTCCCTATCCAGTACACTTGAAGTAATTATTTAATCAGTGTAGTTTGTAATCATAATAGCTCTACGATATAGCAATAACCCTTGCAGGACTTTTACAATTTTTAAGCCAAAGGGTAGAATGGAGAGCAAATATCTTCAAAAGACCTACAATATAGCCCACTATTTAATATCACAAAGCAGAATTCTCAGTAAAAACCTTCCAAATCTTGCTTTGCAACAGATTAATTTATCTTTTTTTTTTCATCCTCTGCCTACCACACATGCTTTTTCATTATAATTTTGCACACAGCATTCGTATATCCTTAGCAGGTGTTTGGTTTCCTTCAAAACCCCTGCATCAAAGCAAAACAGAAAATGCAAAGAGTAATTCAAAGAACTTTTGAAAGTCGGGGACTACCTTCTAAATTAATTCCTCATATTTCCATACAATTGTTTTCATGCTAAATAAACCTAGCTATTTGATTCTTCTGCTCCCTTCCCCCAACCCCCATTAGAAATTCAAATATTTAGATCTCTAACCGGAAATCACCAAATAGCTATAACAATTTTGTTAACATTTTGGGATAACATTTTTAGGATAACATTTTTAGGACTCTGAGAAGTAGTTGCTAAATATCTTCAAAGGTACACCATTCCTTTCTCCTGAGAATCTCTGCTTTGCGTCTACAGTTGGAGCATAACATGCAGAATAAAGTTACGAAAGCTGCAGAATTTTAGAAGCAGGTGGATTTTTTTTTTCATAGAAAGGAAGTCTGGACAAATTGGAAGTGGAGAGTTATTTGTCTCCCATTTCTTCCCCTCTGTCTTCCCCCTCTCAAGCAAACGTTCAGATGGTTAAATGGTGTACAGCACAGCAGTGCAACTCAAAAAAAAACAATAGCTCAAAATCCTCCACAATATATATGCAATTACCTCCAAATCCTGTGGATGCTCATTTTAATGTTCTTGAGATCAAGAGATAATTAGCACTTAGCACTTAGCCTTATATACCGCTTCACAGTGCTTTACAGCCCCCTCTAAGCAGTTTAGAGTCAGCGTATTGCCCCTCAACAATCTGGGCCCTCATTTTACCAATTTCAGAAGGATGGGGGGCTGAGTCAACCTTGAACCAGTGAGATTTGACCTGCCGGCAGCCGGCAGAAGTAGCCTACAAGTGCAATACTGCATTCTAACCACTGTGCTACCACGGCTCTAAGCTAAGGGGGGTTAGAGTTAGTGTCACTTCAAAAAGCATTTTAGCAAAGCCCTGTGTCAGAGAGTTCTTGGTTCAAAGCTACAACAATCCATCCACAAACTACAATCTCTCTTCTTTTCTCCAAGCCCTGTAGGGGTTTTCTCTTATGTAGAATTTCTGCATGTATTGCTTGTCACTCCACATTTCAAATACCAATGAAGCTGCACAGGAGAGTTCAGATTTTGATTCGATTCCCTGAGCTGGAATAGCGCTACTTGAATTAGATTTCCCTAACCCCCCCCCCCCCCCCACCCATCTATGAAGAGTTCAGTTCAACAAAATGTATACCTGCATCAATCACAGGGAAAACTTGTTCTCAGTTCTTTCCTCGCCTCTCAGTTAGGCACTACACATCTCACACTTGTTTTAGGAGAGGAGGACTATAGGGAAAACATGAAAGCTCTATCTTCCCAAATACATCTCAGAGACAAAAAAAAAAAAAACAACCCTGAAGTTCTTATAATTTACTTCTAAACACTAAATATGCAATCTATATGCTTTCTGTGCAGAGGGAAGAAGAGCCTTATACTGACACTTACACTTCCTGGCTTGACTCCCATCTTCTGCAAAGGGCTGGGTTTTTTGGTAGTTGGAACTTTAGGTGGGGGGCGCTGTGGTAGGAGGACTGGGGCTGTCTGGAGGCCCTGAAGAGGTGCTGGCTTTGGGCCAGCGGGAATGAATTCAGGTTTAGTCACAGCCTGAGTTCTTGCTGGAATGGAAGCCAAGGATTCCTGGGGTATTACTGAAATACAAAAAGAATGTATTTGGTTTATTTAAAGCATTCAATATATCCAAAGTAGCACTTGTTTTTAACAGTGCAAAAACTACTTGTATAAAACCTGCCAACATCTAGGCCAAAAATGCACACCAAAGAAAAGGATTTTTACTAGCCTTACTAATTGATAAGTCAAGGAAAGACAAAGAACAATTTGTATTTCAAGACCCTTTCCCCCCATTTGTTTTATTAGCATAGAAGGATCATTCTCAGTATCAGTCTCTTCCTTCTCAATTCAGAATGTGAGAAAATGTTTTTGCAAAATTTATCTTGTTGGAAATATGTTGATGTGCCTTATAGGGATATCTTTTATGTGTTCACATCTATATTGTGAAATAAAATCAACATGTAAAAATGACAATCAGCATTTACTATGTAGTATTTAAAAGTCATCTGTTAATTGCAATTAAATCTAGAATCCATCCTGAAATACTCGATTCAGAAGAAAATGGGGAGAAGGATTGTACAAATTGAATGTATTAGCAAAGATTTCTAGCAAAAATGAAGATGCAGCCTCCTGGGAGCAAAAATGGGCCGCAGGACAAGAGGCTCATGCCACTCCCCCCGCCTCTGAGCATGCACAGGAGAGACCTGAAAATCAGCTGGCCGGCAGGAGGCGCGTACACATGCGCAGTGGAGCCAAGTTGGGCTCTGTGTGCCAAGAGACACAGACACACCGAGGAGTATTAGGGGTGTCTTACCCCCACAGTATTTTTCTCCAGAGAGTAAATCATCTGTGCACCAAGTTTGGTTGAAATTGCTTGAGGTCTACTTTCCAACTTTTTTTAAATAAAGCTTCTGTTCTTGTTCTACGTTAACTTTTGCTTAACTTGCTTTCCTCCCCTGGATTTACAGGTCTATCCTTCTCCTTCTCTATCCCCCCTTTGTACGGCTGGTTGATTCTGGACTGAGGTGGTAGTCTCTTCTTGGCTGTTGTCGCTGCTTGGTAGAGCGCTAAATCTTCAGATGTACTTTCTAAAGCTTCCGTACCTTACCACTGCTAGTGATGACTAATATTCTGGGCTGCTCTGAACTTGCCCACACAGTTGGGCCATTCTGTGTTGTTAGAACTTAGGTGTGTTACTAGCTCTCCACCAGCATCTTTGCTTCCAGCAAGAGCTCAGTTAGGTATTCTGTTAGAGCTGATTCTCCATTACAATTTTGTCCCATTCTTGTCAATGCCAAGGCTTTTTTCTCCAATTTAAAGCATTCCAGAAGGGGGCTATCCAGCTTTGACACATTCAATGAAGAGGAACTTCCTTTGAGGAATTAGTTCCACTGATAAATTGCTCGTTATAAGAATTTCCCTAATGCAATCTGTAAATTGACTACTTTATTCTGTATTCTACATTTTGAATGAAGGGACAGATTGTAATTGTCTTCTGTGTGACATGTTTTCAAATATTTAAAGAGTACTGTCATGTCTATTCAGCTGTCTTCCTCACTTTTCTATCATACCATCTTCTTCCATCTCTTTCCATATGGCCAAGGTTTTAGTCCCCTGGTCATTCTCACTGACTTTCTTTGAACCTGTCCCAATTTTTCTGAATTCTTCTTAAGTGTAGTGCCCTAAGCCAAACACAGTAATTGGCAGGGGGTCCGATCAAAGCCAAATAAAGTGGAACAATTCCCATGATTCTATTGATGTAACCTAGTTAAATTTGCTTTTTTTGTTTTTTGAGCCAGACCACTGTTCTTAGGTACTTTTTAACATGTACCATTTACCAAACTATGTAGCCCCTATCCAATATTGTGGGTTTGATTTTTTTGCTTTCTAAGTAAAGAATATCATCAAAGTTTCTAACAGAAAACCGGCCATACCTCCTTTTGCTTGCATCAGACACCGAATGGCTTCCTCGGCTTCTTCTGGGGTAGTGGTTTTGATCTGTTTCACGTTGTATGGCTTACTAATTCCAGTTCGTGATTTTGGCTTGCAGGAAAATGTAAAAACAAAGGATCATCATCATCATTTTCTTTTGCTGGTCATGCCTTCATGAAACATAATTTTGTGATGGCAAGCATATGGCACCCATGGCACAGGTGGCATGTGGAGCCCTCTCTGCGGGCACATGAGCCATCGGCCAGCTGAGCTCCACAGCATATGTGCGCGCATCCCCCGCCAGCTAGCTGATTTGTGGGTCTCTGACGCGCATGTGGGAGGCACGTATGGATGCGTGGGGGTGGGAGGTCGTGCACACATGCATGGGGGCAGGGGAGGTGTAACATGGCATTTGCAGGAGGTGAGGGGAGCACAGGGGGGTCATGCGTGCATGCACAGGGGGCATTGCATTATGGGTGTTGGCATGCATGTGTGTGCTGTCAAGCACGCACACAATTTTGGCACGCAAGAAGAAAAAGGTTAGCCGTCACTAATATAGAGGAACATCTCTTATATATCCCTTTCCTTTCCTTAGTTGCTGCCACCAGACACATATTTATTAATTAAAATATTCTTTGTCTGCTTTCTACTTAAAACATACTCAGAGCAGCTATTAGATTAATCTTCCCCAGTCCAGTGCTCTTTGAACGTGGATTATAATTTCCATCAACCCAGGTAGATGGCCATTAGGAATTATGGCAGTCCCCCTCATCCCAAAAGCACTAGGTTGGAGAAGGGGGCTTATATTTTCCAAAGTTATCCTATTTAGGGTGCTGGTAGTGGTGATTTAGAACTCAAAAGCTTCTTGGTATTTTGATGCTTCTCATAAGAGAACCTTAGCTTAACATTATACTGAGTAAAGTGAGTTTTTTTTCTTTCTTATCAGTACTTGAAATGATGGTACTGAGCTACTCACCGGGTGCTGTGGTGCTCCTGGAAGAAGCTTTGCTGTATCCAAGATGGAGGACAGGGAGCAGCTTCCTGAAGAGATGGAACCATCTGATGGGGATTTTTTAATGGGCACTGCAGCTGTAGGAAAAACACATAAATAATTTCTTAATGGGAGGTGGTATAATATACAGTATATCACAGACATGAGTATACTCCCTGACATTTTATAAATATTTAAGTATTTGTTGCCAACATTTAGACATTAATGGCTGTGTGTTGCGTTATTTTGAGGGGACAGCACATTTACACTGTTATACAAGCTGTATACTCACTACTTTACATTGTAGCCAAGTGTCATTTCTTCAGTTGTCACATGGAAAGATATACTTAAATATTTACAAAATGTGAGGGGGTGTACTTGACAGTTTGGCCAAGTTTTTGATTTTAAAAATTCTAAAAACTTGTGAGAAAACTGGAGACAGTGCTCGAGGGACATGGCTAAACTCCTATCATAATTGGTTAAGGAAATGT